TTTATTTTTTTTTTTTTTTTTTTTTTTTTTTTTTTTTTTTTTTTTTTTTTTTTGGTCTATTCAGTCATTGCGTGTATTTGTAACGAAAGTAAAAAGTCAGTTGTATTTAAAATTAGGTGATGCTTTTTTTCTTTCTTTCTTCCGATTAATAATACTTAAAAACAAGAAACGAGTACTTGAATCGCTTACATGTAAAAAAAAATAATAATAATAAATGGACACATGCGAAGTATGTGTAAACGGCTAAACGTTTGATGAATCCAATGAAGCTTAAACTATCTAACGTAAATGCAACTTTCAGCGTTAATTGCGTACAAAACGAAGTGCTAAGAATCTTACGTTACGAGAATTAAAAATAAACATCACTGGGGACTATGCATATATGTTTATATTTATTAAAAATATAACGTGAAAAGAATTCATCAGTCGAGTAAAAATAACAATTGCTAAGAGATAAAAAAAAATGCATCTTCAATGCACCATCGTTCCGACAAATACTCGGTTTGTTCTCTACCTCGCCGATTGCTCCTGTTTGTTTGCTTGTTTTATTCTTGAGGCAAACGGGCGACCAATACATTGTCCAAATATACATGCTACACTCGCGTAAAGTATATAAATAAATTAATTTACAATTGAAACAAAGTCGAAAAAAAAAAATTACACATCATCAGAGTCCGAAAACAAACATCTCGACAATTTGTAACATGTTTTACCGAGATCGCACATACTACACGTACACGTGTCATCTCGTACATGAGTTTCATCGGAGACTACGCGCTTTTTTTCTTCCTTGCCTCGACATTTGTATTGTACTATCGTCCACAAACACTTTCGGGCTCAAAAAGTCGTTATACATATGGTCCTCATTCGAAGCGATTCGCTTCCACGCTCGCACGAAAAAAAAAGTACAGTTAAATAAATAAATAAAAAAAAACGCAACTCTGATTAATAAAATTATTTAAAAAATAGATTTGTTTTTCATTTTCATTTCTAACAAAAAGCCATACTCGGACTTTTTTTACAAAGAAAAACTACAAAAATTCGCTAATTTACAATTTTTTTTTTT